ATTAAATTAATACTAACATTTATACTTTTCATATAAATTAATTAAAAAAAGATAAAATATATATAACTTATGATAGAAAAACCAGAAGATTTATTATCTTTATAAATACACTAGATGACTTATACAAATAAAGTTGAAATAATAACATTTAATTTAATGTCTTGTACAAATAAAAAAAAATGAAACAACTTAATTAAAATAATTAAATTTAGTAAGTGGAATAACTAAATTAAAACAAATGGAATATAATATTATTGGGTGCTTTATTCTATATCTTTATTCTATAACTCTACAAATTCTTAGGTAATATATGGTTAGTGATAGTTTCTAATTTTTCTATAAAATTATAAAAATGAGTTAATTATTTTTTGGTGAGATTATAAAAATAAGTTAAATTTAAGAAAAAATTTTAATAGAAGATAAAGATAACTACTCTTAATGTTAACATTTCTATTAAAATAAGAGATAAATGTGAAGTATGTACTCTTTTTATTTTTAAAGAAATAAATATTCATTAATTATTTACTTATGTAAAGAAAAAAAATTAAATATTAAAAAAAACTTAATTATTCCTAACTTATTACAAAAGTTTCTCTTTTTTTATATTTTAACTAAAAAATTAGTCACAACTATTAACCAAACAAACCCTTACAATATCATTTACTGAGTCTTTTAAGGCCTAGGGACCATGGCCCTCATTTAAGGGGACCACTAATTCAGTTGACTGGTCTTTTTTTCTAATAATTGAAAAATCACTTTCACAAGTTCAACTTTTTAAAAAGAAAAGGCATAAGCCCTCGAAATACCCCCTAACTTACTAGCTTTGAAAGAGTTTACCTTGGACTTATAAGTGCAAGATTTATAACCCTTAACTTAAAAGTATAAGGATTTATAACCTTGAACTTAAAAATATAAGGATTTATGCCCTTAGGCTAGCGGAAGACGTTAAATCTCAGTTAAAAGAAAAACTAAATTAGTTAGTCCTCAAAGTATACAAAAGTGATAAGGAAAGTCCCAATAAATTGTAATAATAGATTTAGCTTCATATATAAGAACTATAATAAACATTTGCAAACAGATTGAGCAAGTGGTTCATTCTAAAGAAGAAATTCTAGCTGAAATCAAAGAAAATCTTTTAATTGAGTTAAGGCAAAGAATCCAAGAAAAAGAAAGAATAAACCCAATAATACAACTATATAATAGACAAATTAGATTTAAAGAACAGATAATTAAAAAATTAAGAGAAATTGTTGAAATACTAAAATCAACATGAATAAAGAACAAATAGATTAGATTAACATGTATCTACTTAATACATTAGGTAGAAGCATGATCTATACAGAAGACATAATTATCACGGATAAAATCCTTGAGATGGAAACTATCAATGAAAATACTTTAAAAAAGACTAGAGAAATGGGAAAATCCCTTTCTCCAGAATTTGATTCTATCAGAGAAAAAATAAATGAAGTAAAAAGTTCTAGAGATCTAAAAGAAATAAAAGAAGAAATACAGTTTATCAAACACTCAAAAACTTTGATATCTCAAGTTAAGATATAGAACTTAAAGTAGAAGAAATTCTCAAGATATTAAAAGTGATTGTTGAAAATTTTGCAATAAAAGCTTAAAAATGTATAATAGAATAATCCCACAACTAAAAAGTGATATAGATAAAAATTTTTATAGGATCCAGACACAGTTCAAGGATCTGCAAGATATTATAATATCAGTCTATAGTAGGTGTAATATTATAGATAGAAATGAAGGATTTAAAATAATTCCCAAGATTTTCACTGAAAAGCCTAAATCAAAAGGAATAACATTTTTTATGTTAAAGACCCAAGAAGAAAAATTAAAAGAACTTGAACAAAAGTTTTTAGAGGAAGAAAATGTAGAAGAATTAGACAATCTGTGCAAACAAATTACTCTAACTACTAAACAATTAGAAAACATGAAAATGAATACTCAAAAAGAAGAAATTGAAGAAGAAAGCGAAGAAGAAAAGGATGAAACCCATCCTAATATAACCCCAACAAAATTTCTAGTGCAACTTGGTATAGAATCTAGCATAAGCCAAAGCTATCAAAGGAATAGGAATTTAACACATGAAGTAATTTATGATAAAAGGAGTAGAAAAATTGGAAATCAATCTAAAATTAAGACTCCAATTAGAGTCAAAGAACAAATGATTAGCACTAATGGTATTTGGTTGGATCTAGATTGCGTTACTAACCCAAAAAGGTCATTAGTGACTGGGCTCCAGCTACTTGGATAGCCCTAGCAAACCAAAACTGGAATGCCTTATAAGCAGTTAGATTTATTGAAGTCACATTTAGAAATATTAATAAAACTCTAAGTTTAGCACATGAATTTGCTAGAGAAAACTTTATGAAAGATGGATCAATGCCATATAGTATTTACTATATGATAAGTTATGCATTGACCAATAGTCATCAATCTAATCTTTTCAAAGATATAAAGAATATATAGAACTAGATCCTATGTTCTCTGAAATAGGACAAATTTAGAAACCAGAAATGATCACTGAAATAGAACTACCCAAAGAATGAGAAATAGATATTAGTGAGAAACCATTCTTAATAGGAGAAAGAGAAAAACCTAGATTAATGGCATATGAGTCAGGAAAACTATTAGTGAAAATAGAACCTGAATCAAGCCATAAAAATAGTATAGACTTAGGAGCTTTATGCTATCCTAAGAAAGATAAAGAGATCTTAACCGGAATGACTAATATAAAACATGAAATGGTGTTAGATACATTAAAGATTCCTTCAAGGCATTTCAAAATAAAAGGAGACTATTATGATGGGAGGGAATGGCATAACATTTCTATCCTAATAAATACAGGAGCAAGAGTAACACATATCCATAGTGATATGATTCCACACCTACAAAGATTTGAACTCACTAAACCATATATATATTACAACTTTAATGGTATAGTGACCACAATACATGTATATGCTAAAGTAGCCCTTCGAATAGAAGATAAAGATAAGATTCAACATGAAATTACTATAACAGCTTATGCTGAAATAGAAATGACTACAAGTATAGACTTGATGTTAGGAAACTCATTCTTAACATCAATACAACCCTATAACATTCAAGAACATTGTTTGAATATTACCTTAAGTGGAAAAGAAGTAGTTATACCAAGATACTATGAAAACTAGTAACTATAGTGTATACATATCCGTTGGAATTAAGTATGAAGAAAACAAAACAGAATTCTTTCATGCTTTTATAGATACAAGATCTAGGATATGCTTGGCAAAAACCAATGTATTTCCAAAATATTATTGGAAGAACACCTCTCAAACTATGAAAAGTGTTGCCATAGATGGAAGTATTATTCAATATAAAACAATAATAGAAAGAGTTACTGCCATAATTGGTGGAACTGAAGTTATAATTCCTTGAGTCTACAAGAGTAATGAACATGGGAATGATATTCTATTACGAAATAATTTCCTAAGTCAATTCAAGCAGTATGTTCAAACTACATCATATGTAAAATTTTATACACCTTATGGACATTGGCTTTACGCCTCTAGAATTTGTAATGCTTATACCAGAACAATAGAGCCATTAAATTTTTGTAGCCAATGTGGTGAGGATAATAGAAAAATTCGATCAAAAGAGATTAAAAAACCAGTATTAGCATTATGGAATAATGAAAAAACACAAGAAGAAATAACCCTAGAATCTATTTCAAAAGAATTAAAAAGTAATTATGGAGAAGATCCTATAAAACTATGAGGGATCGATAAACCTTAAGCCACTATTGAATTGATAGAACCAAAAACTATCATTAGAGTCAAACCAATGAGGTATAGCCTTGAAGATAGAGAAGGATTTGATAAGCAAATTCAAGAGTTAATAGCCTAGAAGATTATACAGGTCTTAAAGAGTCCGTATAGTAGTCCTACCTTTATGGTAAGAAATCATAATGAATTAAAAAGAAGAAAAGCTCGAATGGTTGTCAACTATAAACAACTTAATAGCAAAACTAAATTTGATGGTTACTTTATACCACATAAAGAAACTCTAATAAATAGAATTAGAGGAAAGAATATGTATTAAAAGTTTGATTGCAAATAAGGATTTTGGCAAATTAAGCTAATTCTTGATAGTATCCCGCTAATAGCCTTTAGTGCCCCTACAAGACACTACGAGTGGTTAGTAATGCCTTTTAGATTAAAAAATGCACCTCAAATATTTCAAAGAATGATGGATAATGCATTTTCTTCCATCAAGAAATTTTGCATAGTTTATGTAGATGATATACTAATCTTCTCTGATAATAAGAAAGAACATTTGTGCCATCTTAAGAAATTTTCATATTTATGCAAGAAACATGGAATATTACTCTCTAAAAAGAAAGTAGAGATAGGAAAAACCAAAATTGAATTCCTTGGATTAATAATAGATTCCACAAGAATAGAATTACAACCTCACATTAGTGAAAAGGTTTCGATGTTCCCAGATAAACTAGAGTCTAAAGAACAAATTCAAAGGTTTTGAGGAATACTTAATTATGCAAAGTAGTTCATTCAAAGCTTAGCTCAATTAAGATATCCTTTGCAAAAGTTGCTTAGGAAAAAGGAAAATCAACAATGGGAAATTTATCACACTAATCATGTGAAAAGAATAAAAGACTTGCAAAAACCTTCTTAGGTTACAATTGCCTAAAGAAGATGAAGAGTTAATTTTAGAATGTGATGCCTTAGATTTTTATTGGGGAGCCACTTTAAAAAATTCTCAAGAAAAAGTTTGTAGATATTCTAGTGGTACATTTAAAGATGTAGAAACGAGATATCATTTGAATCATAAAAAATTATTAGCTATTAAAAATGGAATAAAAAAGTTCAGTTTTTTTTTATTACCAAAACATTTTAAGGTTAGAACTGACAATATTCAAGTTAAGGGATTTATTTTTAATAAATTACCTTTAACATCAGAACATAAAAAGTTAAATAGATGGCAACTTTCTTTGCAAAATATGATTTTGAAATTGAATATGTCAAAGGAACTAATAATTGTCTTGCAAATTTCTTAAGCAGAGAATGAGCTAATGGATGCAATCTTGAAACTCCAAAATAAAGGGAAAGACCTTATTCTCAAAGGTCAAGAGATACTCATTGAGGCCAATAGCCAAACACGAGAAGGCTAAGAAAAAATGATTGAAGGCTAAGAAATAATTGATGAAGGGCATAACCTTATGGATGAAGACCAAGAAAAAATTATTAAAGGCCATGAGCTATTAAATAAGGGACAAGATGCCCTTGAAGAAGTCAAAGAGCTGATAGAAAAATTAATAAGTTCTAGAGTAATTACTACTATCGGAATCAACTCTAAAGAATCTAGCTAGACGGTAAAGAAAAGCTCCCAACAAGAGCTAAAAGAAAATTTTGAACAAGGTGATCCTTTGGTAGGGTTACTTGAAGAAAGTTCAGGGAAGTTTGACTATTATGTCAAATACTCTCTCTCAGAAATATTAGCATCTCAAGCTGAAAAGTCGGCTATTCAAAATGCCAAAAACCATAACTTTCGACCTGATTACTCATGAAAGAAAGAAAAGAAAGCTGCAATAATAGACACCTTGTCAAAAATGACAATGAGTAAAGAATATCTATAGGAATACTGCAGAGTTTGTAAAATGGCATATTCAATGAGGTCCATTGAGAATTGCCATCCTATTCATGAAGGGATTTATCCTAGAATTAATTTCATGTAGGGTGCAAACCCAAAAGCAATAAAAGAGTTATTCAATTACGGTTTTGTAAACTGCATTTATTTCTCAAAGGATAATGAAGAAGTTTCAGAACTTCCAGAAGTTATACACCAAGGAGTGAAAGACTTCAAAATTGGCACCAAAGCTCAAGAGGTAGTATTTGTCAAAATCTACTCTACAGCATCAGAATGGGAGAAATCTCAATATTTCCCCAGTCATCATATAGTTCAAATTGGAATCCAGTCCAAGAAAATCAAGGTAGAACCAAATGAAGATCAAAATTTTCAAGACTTTGAAGAGTCTCTTTGTGGGATTGAGTTCGTCCAAGAAAGACGAGCTCTAGGATTCAAGGTTTTACTCTAGACCTTTGACAGAATGATAGAGATGAGGAAGACATGGACATATGGCTTCTCCAAAGAAATCTCGATGGTATCCACTGGTGCAAGATTAATGACAAGCATCAGCCTGTTTAAAATAAAGTAGAAAAGAAAGGAAATCTTTGAAAATCTGGTCCCAACCAGTAAAGTAGTCCATAATCGACTATGCAAGCTATTAAAGCATGACAGCCGTTATGGTTTTTGCTACAAAAAAGAATCTGCAAAAAAAAAAAAAAAAAGCTAAAGCCCCATGTGACAAAAAGACCACCCTCTCAGATACTAAAGAAGATCTCATCATTCTTTGAAGAATCCAATGCAAAAAGACATAAGCGCTTTCGTCACTAAAGAAAAAGAAAAGCATCTGCAAGATTCGATGTAATCTACTTTAACAAAAGCAAGAAGTAAGTATGGATCACCAGACAATAATGTAAACTTTAATCGTCAACAATGACAAAAGAAAAGATTCTAAGGAGCGCTACAAAAAGCCTCCTATAAGCTGTAACAAGTATCGGGCATTTGAACACCCAAATACCTTACCTGAGTGCCTTCTACCATGTATCTGTAAAACACCCTTCAAGAGGAAAGGGAATTTTCCCTTTCTCATCTCAAAAATGAAATCATCTTTTAGAATAATCATTATGCTTCTATCCTTCCTAATTTCCATCATAGAAAATAATGAGAAGAATTTTTGAAGATACTTAGACAGCAGTGAGGTCACTAGTCCTATTCAAATACTTGTGTAGCCAAAGTGTGGTTTTGAAGGTTGAACGAATGAGGCATTAGCTTGACCAAAGGCTAGACTAAGAAATTTTTAAGTATGATTCTAACTAATTCTTTTTATCATGTGGAAGCTAGTTGGGCATAGAAACATTCGTATTATTGTTTGACATAGTTATTTTTGAGATTAAAAATAATAGGGAAATAGTACCCAACCTCTTATATTTTAAATAGAAAAGTTTGTATTAAGAACTTATTTGTAATGCTTTAAGATGCTTAATTTCAGTCAAGAAATAATTGTAGATAAAGTAGTTTATGAACAGCAATGCGAATATTATAGATATAAAATAGTGAATATTTTAGAAAAAAATAAGTAATGTTGAAGATATAAATGATTATTATCTATCCAAGGATCTCAAAAAGTTAAAGTGAATAGTTGCAGATTTAAATGAAGATTTAAAAGGACTTAAAAAAACTAAACAAAGACTATCTTTACTAGCAGTTTAATACATCTATTGAACTTGACATACTAGCTACGCATTAGTTTGTAGTCTGAGTTAGGTTTTGAAATCCAAAACCCAATTTTTGGTATCAAAGCCATAAAAGAATTAAAACACAACGATGTTAAGAATGTACTTAAAAGGAGAAGTAAAGTTTTGTGAACAACAAATAGATATAATCTCAAAGATTAAAAGATTAAAAGAGATGATCTCTTATAGAACCGATGAATTATCATGAGAAAGATATATTGAAGAGCAATAGCTCTAGAAGAATTAAAAATTTTAGCAAAATAAAATAAAAATTAGTTCTGAAACAAAATTAATTTTAGGGACCATAGTGTTAATTTAACAAAAGATGAAAATTTAACTTAACAATCAAGACCATGAAATATTTGGTCAAAGGGCAAAAACCCTCAAACCCAATAAGTTAAAGGGTGAATAACCCTCTGACTTATAAATTGAAAGGCAAAATACCTTAAACTCAAAAAGTTGAAGGGCATAGTATAGGTATATGCCAAAAAAAATAGCTTTTTATTTTTTCCTTTCATTATAATTTTTTCTAAAAAAAAAAAAAAAGAAGAATAACCTTTAATTATCTCCAAGCGTTCTATCTTTGAACTGTACCACACAAATATGACATAGCATACTTCTAAAAGGGACTTTACACATAGGCAACTAAGTGGGTCGGTAAATGTCAACATTGAAATTTTGATTTGGAATTTAGACCTGATTGGATAATTAATTAAAATTAAGGGATTCAAATGCTAAATAATTGAAACTTAAGGGAAGAAGATGAAAGGAAAACAAAGCACTACTAGAATACAGCCAAGCCCACAATAACACAGACAATTATTGAGAAGAGAAGGAAACTGCTTATATGCACTCTCTTTTTCCTGTGAAATTAGAGGCCTCGGGGCACAGAGGGAGAGAAAAAGAGAGAGCTGAGCACCGTCTCCTCTTCTTCCTATCATATTACTCCTCTCTCTCCCTCCAAATCTGCCCCTCAATTTAATCTACCCGTAAAGAATCTCTTTTGCTTGTTTCTCACTCTAATTCTGCAGCACAAATTTCTGTATTGGCTGTTTACTTTGTGTTCTATCATCTCCAGCTTCTCCCCCATTTCTAAAAACTCAAAACTCTTCTGGGTCCTCTCTAATTTACAGGAAAAAGAAGGAATAATTTGTTAAATTTATAGCTTAATTTCCGTTAAATAGTGAAAGATTTCACCTTTTTGATCAAATTACGAGAATTTGAGGGTACCCACTGCCTATTTTCCAGATAATGGAGAGTTTTTCCGGGAAAAGGAGACCCTCGATCAATCTCTCCCTTTTCACCAATTTCTCGGAGTCATTTTCCTCTCCAGGCCCTACCAAATCCCCTAGAAACTTCGAAAATGGGGTCGTTGGGTTAGGCATAGTGGCAGCTATGACTGATTCCAGCAATACACAGGAAGTAGTTTCACCTCCAAGATCCACCCCTATATCTATAGTGTCATCTGCTAAACCGACGGCGAATTTTAGATGTGGTCTGAATTTGGGGAGGGATGGGGATGTTGAGATGGATGAGTTATCCGAGAATTACACTTGTGTGATTTCTCGATTGGGTAATAATTTGATCAAGAAAAGTGTCTACTTTGGTGATGAAAAGAATTGCAGTGTGTTTGCTGCTTCTTCCTGGCCTATGAACGTTGCTGTCAGGGAGGAGATTTGGGGTGCGGACTTTCTGAGTTCTTGCTATCTTTGCAAGAAGCAGCTCCAGGGACTGGACATTTTCATGTACAGGTATGATAAAATCATATTAAAATTTTATTAGTTTTTATTTTTATTTTTTTGCTTTGCTCCTGGATGGTTGATCTTCTCCCTTATTGCGTCTGAATGATAAGTTACGTTGTTTTTGAATTTTTAAAATTAATTTTGAATAAGGGTTTTGCATTTCATGTTGAATTAATGGTGTTTTATGGTGGGGTTTTGGAGTTTTATTTTATTTTGGATAGAATTAATTCTGAGTTGTGGTTGTTTCAGTTTTCTGCCTGCTTAGATATTGACTAAGAAAAATCGTTGTAGTTTGATAACCATTGATTACTGAATGTAATTATATTCTTCTAGATTATGAGTTATAATAGCTTCTTAATTGGGTTTATTGAAAAAGAAAAAATCTTGTAAGTTTAGAAGCTCCATTATATGTTTTTTCCTTTTTCTCAAGTGGAAGTTAATTACCTAGTCTAGTATTTTAGATTAGGGTCTCCAAGTCTCTTACAGTCTGTATTTGGAATATGATTTTTTCTTTGTTGTGCAATTGTATATGATTTGTAGCACTTAGGATCTTCGAAAATCAAGTCATTTGTAGTTATGATTTGCTTGAAATGCAATTGTAAAGAGAGAACTTTTTGGAAGGCATGATATCGATCTTATAATTTTTTTAATAATAAGTTTGTCTGTAGACTCTGTATCTGACAAGTAAACTTCCATCTATGAATGCATTTAAGTTTGGATATCCTGCTTAAATAGCGTGGCACTATAATTTTAATTGCTTTCTCTTCAGGTTATTGAAGTGTCTGAATATGGAAGGCAGTGTGCAGCTTAGTTTGGTTAATTAATTCAGTTATGGTCTCATCAATATGTTGGTTCTGATAGCTCTTGGATCTGTTTGTCTATGAGTAATTAATCAGTAGGTCAATAGTAAGGAAAGTTTGGTAGCTTAATTACCTTGTTCTAAAGCAAAGGCTCTGTCACGTGCACTCTCTTTGACATAAGCAGATTTCTATAACTGTCTGATAGATTACTGAATCAGCTATTGGGCTCATTCATGCTAAATTTGGCATTCTAATAACTTTCTTCTAGTCCTCTAGAGCTGAGGTTCCTTCTCACCTGCTGCTCTTTCTGACATCTCATGCAGATTTCTTTAACTGTCTGATTGATTACCTACTTGGCTGGGTCATTCTAAGTTTGGTATTCTGATTACATTGTTCTAGAGGTGTGGCTGCATTACACATGATAGTCTTATTGATATCTCGTGCAGAGGTGTAGAACAGCCTTATTTATTATCTTTTGCTGTCTAATGCATTAGTATTTGGAAATGTATGAGTTTTGTCTTTACATTGAAACTAAAGATCAACTCATTAGCTCAAAGTTGTTGGAATGATAGTAAGGACAAAGGGTTAACTCATTTTTGAGTCTTGGGTACAAAATGTTATATGTTCAAATCCTGTCATCCCTATTTGGCTATTCCCTATCTTTTTAGTAGAAATATATTTTTGAATATGACATTTAGATTTTCATTGTATACCTACCAAACACTTTAGCTTGCATTACATCTCTTATTGCTGTCAATTATTATACATCATCCAAATAAAGCTTGCAAATCAAGGATTTCTGATAACAATGTCTTTTAACCTGTTAAAAATTTAAAATATCCTTGTGGTATCGTCCCCCTTGATCATAATACATTGCTTCAACTGAGGCTTGTTTTGCCCATTAATCAATAGCTTTAGATCTCTCTTTCCCCTGCAAACCTAAATCAAAAGCGACACAACAGTTGGTGCTCTCATTTGTTGGAGTTTTCCCTATGTAGAAGTTAGAGCTTAAAATTAATTCAAGATATCTTGTGATTTGATAGTGAAATGCAGAATGATTCTTCTTTTCCTATGTGTGGTGTTAACTTTCGTTTGGCTTGGATTCTCAACCTCAAGAAAGGAGGGATATTTTTCTTTTTCTTGTCTTTACCATTGTGGCATAATGGAATCTTCACGGTTTACGCCAAACCCCACTTGTAGTTTTCACTAGCAAACTTACAATAGACATGTTTTTTGGCTGATAACAACAAACCGGTGTTTGCAGGGGGGAAAAAGCATTTTGTAGCACTGAGTGCCGTGACAAATATATCAGAAGTGATGATCACAGAGAGAAATGTGGGTCTGAAGCCAGGAAACAACTTGAATGCTCTGCGTCTCCTTGCTCTGGACCACCTGTGTTTCTGTCTGGTGTAGCCGCTGCATAGATATCTCAGTTTCATACCAATATATATATATATATATATATTACTGAAAAGAATAAAAAGAAAAGTATCTAAATAAGCTTTTGTTTGGTGGAATGAGCAACGGTTGAAAGAATTTTGCTGAAGGCTTCATCAGATAATCTCCATATCTCAGATTATATTAATTTTGAACGAGGCCTGGGGAAATATTTTTGTACCTCAGTGAGACTGAGAACTGATCTGAGTTTGTTGAACCAAGGGCAGGAGAGATATAAGGGATATGAATTCTATTCTTACATATATGGTCAACTCTATTGGTATATTTAAATAATTAAAGGTGAATTTCTTATTGAATTGGAGATTTTAAAAAGAATGTCGAGGAAATAATTTTGCACTTAATAAGTATAAAATTACACGGATTTAACATTTCTTCCGTTCTGTTGCAAAATTCTGTAATTGCTTTTAAAATGAACTTATCATTTACTAGCAGTTATTTTGCAATGGAGAGTATGCCATATCATTATAAAAGTAGCGAATCAATTTTTATTTTTTACATCGTTATATAAGAAAAAATAATTTTATCCTTCTCAAACTTTTACTTTCCAATCTCAAAATCCGAATTTGAGATTTACAATATGGAGAGTTAAGGACTCGAAGCTTGTATGCAATGAAGGGAACATATGGGGTGAATCAATAATACTGGGAATAACTTCAGTGTTGAAACAAGAACTGAACAAAATAACCTGACTCTATATCCGCACTACTAAAAAAATATTACTATTCGTTGGCACAAGGTGAAAAAAATTAACCAAATAGACTTGCATTTTTATTTTGGTTCCTTCCAAATATCTAACTTTAATTATTTTGCTCATAGAGGGCAGCACAAAAATCCTATCATCATCCCATTGTAATTGTTTACAGAAACATCCCAAGTACACACCGAGTCATGATCAAAATTTCATAGAAGTTTGCCGAGCATGTCATGTACCGTATTACAATATCTAACCATAAAACAATAAATTTTAAGAGAATTTTGTTGACTAAATTTAAACTTCAACAAAAACTGAAACTGTGGACGATATACGCATTAAAGCGGCTGCAATAGTGAGATTCCTTGGCAGGGGTTGCTGGAACCAGTTTTTGGGGCTGTAATCACACACGAAGAAAGAAATGAAAGGATATCTTCATGTTTCAGAGGTTCATAAAAGCAGCTTGCATAGAATCTAAGCAGCTGCAATGGTCAATTCCTTGGCAGGGGTTGTTGGAACCAGTTTCTGGGGCTGTAATCACACACGAAGAAAGAAATGAAAGGATGTTTCATGTCTCAGAGGTTCATAAAAGCAGCCTGCTTAAAATCTATGCACCCTGGAATATCTCCAGGATTCAGAGGAATAATACAAGCAAATGACCACCTACCACACTTTCAGCACCAAGAACTGGTTAGTGTTATGTGTTATTTTTTCTTCTTTCTTTCTTTCTTTCTTTCTTTCTTTTTTTCCTTTTTTTTTTCTGAGATAATTTTGTACAAAACTGAAGAGGCATTCAGTGGTTGGAATACTAACGATGTATTAGCTTCTTACCTCTTGCAATTCTTGTTCATGTTTTGGGATGAAAGCAGTGTCAACATTTCCATTTCTGAAGTCCTGTGAAGCAAAGGTAAGAATGGTAATTTAGATAGATTGAACAACCTCAAACTGCAATACATGATATTTATTCAAGGAAAAAACACATCATAAATGCACACAACAAAGCTACCAACCTCAATATCAAGGATCAGTTTATGGTATTCAATGGTGGTAGGAACCCCTGAAAGCAGATAGGACAACAAGATTCACTGAGGGATACGAGATTCTGAGAACAAGATGAACTAAAACTAAAGAAAATAGTGAGACTTCTGATCCTTTTGCATAATTGTAGCTTGCAATTGAACCAGGGAGACCATGCCAACCCATAACTTATTATGCCTTTTCACTCAGGCATTATAACTAGCAAATTCATTAACTTGCTTTTCCAAGGTTTTTTCTCCCATGTAAAAATGAAATAATGCAAAAATCACCTTCTTTTTTATTCTTGTTTAAACATCAAAAACCATGCAACCTTATAAAGGTGAATATTATGGATTGAAAAGTATATTGGGAAAGAGAAAGGAAAACAAAAATGAAGAGAAAAATAAAAGATTAAGACACAAGAAGAAGACACAGGAAGAAAGTCCAAATGGTAAGTATCCTCTCAATCAATAACTTGTACCTGTAATTATAGTGTCATTAAGAGCCCTTTTCATGCGCTCAATTGCCTTTTCCCTTGTTGGAGCCCACACAATCAACTGAAATACAGTAATGAAGTTTTTGTGCTAATTAGAAGAACCAAGTTAAGGTTTTCAATGATAGAGGCAGCACCATAGACATTGTAAGCTCTGAGGTACTTGTTCCAAACTAATCACAATGCAAACAACAATTACCTATGAAACAACAATTAAAAACGGAAATGAAATCATCCATGGCAATCATGTTTATGTTTAGACTATAAAATACTATAACCTTGATAAAGTTCATTATGTAACTCCAGATAACATATGTACTTTTTGTACAATGGAAATAATTATTCAAGTCCCAATGGTAATACCTAAGATGTATTTATCTGAGAGTTATCTTGCTTTCAAAGCTGTTGCTTGGATCTCAGCTGGAAAACCCACCAAATTTTGGTCAAATTTCATCAATATGATAGTTGTTTTGGATCATAACATGTTTGTTGTTACATTTGTAAATTTAGATTTACCACACATATGGCTTGTGGGCATATACACGGGTATTCTTACAGGCATGGAATTGAGTGTTAGCTCATGGGAAAAAACAGAGCAGCTAATTCTTTGAATCAGAAAAAGGAAAGGCACATTAACAACAAAGACAGCACAGACACAAAGAATTACATGGGAAAAATGACAAACCTTTCCAAGTAGGGAATCATAACTTGGGGGAACCACATAATCAGGATACACATGACTATCCATTCTAACAAATGGTCCTCCAGATGGCAAGTATGCTGTAATCCTCCCTGTCATTCCAAGAGAACAGACATAAAAAGATTAAAACTTTCAATTTTTCTTCAACTTTTGCTTGTTTGAAAACCTCATCACTTAGTAGAAATTCAAGCATTTAAATGTCGTGAGATATGTTTTTCAGGCAAAAAAAAAACAATGCGGTGAGATAAAAGCCAGCCAATTCCCAAATCAACCCTTAAAAGAACAAAATCAATTGTGCAATTAATTGTGGAGGTTAGTGCCAGAAGTGAACCACCAACTTATTTGCACGTAAACAATAAAACATATGCAATAGGCATACCTGGTCCTGGTCTGAACCCTTTAAATGGATCTTCTGCATTGATACGGCATTCAATTGAATGCCCCCTGAGCACAATATCTTCCTGTTTGTAACGAAGTTTCTCTCCCATGGCTACACGAATTTGTTCCTCTATCAAGTCAACAGAGTAAATCATTTCGGTCACTGGATGCTCAACCTAGTTTATTCAATGAAACACCTCATTTAGCATTTCTCATGATTACCCTACATAAAACCTAAACAGCAAACTTCACATCTGAGTGACCAAGTTTCACCTGGATTCTGGTGTTCATTTCCATAAAATAGAAGAAACCTCTTTCATCCAAAAGGAACTCAACTGTTCCAACACCAATGTAACCAATGGATGCTGCTGCAGCAACAGCTGCATCACCCATCGCCTTCCGCAACTCAGGAGTCAATGCTGGGGAAGGTGCTTCTTCCAGAAGTTTCTGATTACGCCTCTGTATAGGAAGTAATACAAAATCAGGGATTATTTCAATATAATAGCCCATAGGTATTATACCTACAGAGCATTACAAAGACAAGAAAGAAATTTAGAGAGAGAGAGAGAGAGAGAGAGAGAATACCTGGATGCTGCAGTCACGCTCACCAAAGTGAACAACATTACCATATTTATCTGCAAGAACCTGTAAACTCAAACATGGAAGAAAAATCACATAGTCACAAGTTGAGCTGGACTTACCCATCACATGACTAGATAGGGTCCTAATGAGGGTTCAGTTGCAAAAAAGAACACCTTGTCAAAGGTGACCACAATATCTTTTAAGCTATTGGAATGTGAGACTTGATGCTTAGAGTGACAATCCTAGGATCTCTAATTTGCACCTTCTTAGATCCAATTCATACAAAATTCATCCATAAAAATAAATACAATACCAAGCTGGACAATAAGATAAAAGGAAACAGAACAATAACAGCATATTTTACTACTTCATAGTTAAGCAAAGGTACAATCTTTAAGTAACAAGCAGAGGCAACAGTTACCTGGAACTCAATATGCCTTGGATTTTGAATATACTTTTCCAAATAAACTCCATCATTCCCAAAAGCAGCTGCAGCCTCACTCTTAGCTTGCTGCACAATGAAGTAAAATAAGGTGAGCTTGATCACAGATAAAGCTCAACTATTAATGCAGATAAATTCAAGAGGCACCCAATTCTTTAATATGACAAACAACTAGCATTAGAGGTAATACCTGGAGTAACTTCACAAATTCATCAGGCTCTTTAGCAAGACGCATTCCCCGGCCCCCACCACCAGCTGTTGCCTTACATTCAAAAAACTTCTTTCAGATCTGACAAACAAACTAGGTTCTACAAAAGTAATTACTGTTAATGTTTCATTGAAAAGAAGGCACACATATGTATTAACATAATTAAGTCAAGAGCGGCAAAAATATCTATATTATAGATTTTTGAATTAAAACATTACTGTTATTCTGTGTTAGCCTTAATAAATAGTAATGGTGCATGTCAAATTTTGATATTGGATGGTCAACAAAATAAGTGTGTGTGTGTCTCATAAAATGTTATATTACAAAGGGAGGTAAATTACCTTGATCATCACTGGGAAGCCAATCTCATGGGCAAGCTTGACTGCTTGCTCTGTACTCTACAAATGAAGAAAAAGGAGCATTAAGAAATCTCAACCTCATGCCATTTATGTGTATAAAGTTGTTCTACCGAAAATATTTACTAAATAATAATATTACACCTGCAGCAATCCATCACTCCCTGGAACAGTAGGAACGCCTGCATTCTTCATTGTCTCTCGTGCTGTTGATTTATCACCCATAACACGGATACTGTCAGGCTGCCAAAATGTAATAGTGAACTCAATCTTCTTTCATTGAAGAAATAACAACAAAAAACTTCAAGAACCGTCTAAATAAACCAAGAAAACTATCAACTTCCAGCATGAAGTTTACTTGAACAAGAGATAATTTAGATATTCACAATGCATATACAGTGACTCTTGAGGGTGAGGTCTCAAAAGCATTAATTTCACTACTTGTATAAAAATTTCCTCAACAACATGTATATCATTAATATGGCTAACTCACTTTTATGCTTGTTTTGTTTGTGAGAGGACTTGAACACTATCATTCGAATTATGATTACATAGTTGAGAAATCATAGATTTAAGCTTCTAAGAATAAGAAGATTGTTGCATAGTTTAATTCTCTAAGAACTTACATTCGGGCCAATAAAGTTGATCCCATGTTCTTTGCACATTTCTACAAATACTGCATTTTCAGCAAGGAAACCATATCCAGGATGCAGCATCGTACATTTCCGGCTGATTGCAGCGGATAACACATTTTGAATCAACAAATACCTGAATAAAGACAGGTAAACACTAGCCTTACGCCCATAAAAGTACAGAACGGGGAGGAAGCACGAGCATCAGATTAACGAACAAAGATAAAACTAGATGTGAGAACAAAAGAGTACTAAAATTACTTACGATTGATTGCTTGGTGCTTCTCCTATGCAAACCGATTCATCAGCCAACTTCACGTGAAGTGCATCCTTGTCAATTGTTGAATACACAGCAACACAGGGTATCCCCAACTCATGGGCAGTTCGAATTACACGAACAGCTATTTCTCCTCTATTTGCCACGAGAATTTTCTCAGCCTGACATGTAGCGGCAAGAGCTCCTCCACGCTTCTTAGATTTATGGCTAACTCGGCTGACCTGAGCTCTCTGTCTTGGAAAGTTGATCTTACTTCCCACCATAAAGCTACATTGCGAACTTGGACTCCCAATACCTCTACTTCTCCCCATAAAAAAACCCTTCTATGTAAAAACAACAGAAAGGTAGAACCAATTAACGCTGCTATTTTCATATGATTTCGAGACCCTTTATTGCATTCAAGCACCCAAGAGCTTAAAAACGAGAAATTGATTAAAAAAAAAAAAAAACACAGAGCATGAAGAGGAAAACCCAAGAAGCAAAAGAGACTTACAGGAGGGGAGGCAACATATTTGCAGACAGACATTGAAACATCCATTGCCATTGGATGAAACTACTTGCCTATTATAAAACAAACCCACATGATCAAACCAACAGTATGATGAATAGTTTAGAAAGGAAACTGAAATGCAATTAGATCTAATGCAAGGCGGCAGTGCAAGAAGATTTACCAACTTTGAGGGGAAAGAAGAAGTCGAGGAATGCAGGAAAGTTTAGAGAGGGAATGAGGGGGAAATGGGGGTGGGAGATATGAAGGATGAAGGTGTCGATGGAAACGAGGGGAGTGTCAGCTTGAGTGCTCTGCCTAAAATGGTTGGGAACTTGGGCTCGCTCCGCTCGACCCTTTTTCCCTACGGTTCTTTCCCTGCGGTTGGATTCTCATTTCCAGTAGATTAATGCCACGTTTTTAGTTGGTAATTACAGGTTAAAATATGCATTTAGTTCCCAATTTTAATAAATTTGAAGTCTTTAACTTTATATTATATTATGAGTTTAAAGATTTAAAAATTTTAACTCTTAAATTAATAAAATTCATTAATTCCCTATTTAACTTCGGTTCAAAAGAAAAAA